CCCCAAAACCCCAAAACCCCAAAACCCCAAAACCCCTAAAAATTATAAAATATTGAAATTTAAATGAGAAGCAGGCAGCAAAAGGAAGAAGAAATACATGAACTTATGAGGATAGAGGAGGAAAAAGGTCAACAGTTCATGAAATAAGCTCAAACAGTTCAAGAAAAAGAATAAGGAGTCTAAGAAGAGAACCAAAATTAATACACATAAGATTGATTGGGTCAAGAAGTATCAGGAATATCAGAAACAAGAGAGAAGGTATGAGGATGAAATCACTGAATTTATTAACCAAAAGACTGCAAAAAAGAAACCCAGCAAGCTCTTTGTCCATATCCGCAGCGATGAGTACGACAATACTGTCCATCGGTCTGAGTTTCGAGAGAATCTCAATTATCCCATTAATGGAGTCCGACAATTGATAACCTCTCTATACGAACAAAAGAAGAGGATTAATTTTGAGAAGAAACTTAGTAAGAAAGAAAACCTTTGTGCTGAATTTGACATCAAAAAGATTGAGACTCAAGAGCTCATTAGCTCAGTGAAAAGTAGCTTCCAAAATGTTGAGAAAGGACTTAAGGAAGAGTACTCTAATCTTTTAAAGGAAATCAATCAGCATAAGATCGAGCTAACAGATGTAATAGGCTTCAGTGACCAAGTCAAAGGATTTGACATTGAGTTTATGGTCGATGATAACATTGAGTTCCTTGATAGATACGCTAATTTCTTAGGCTCAGACTATGAAAAGATGAAGAAGGATTACCAAAAGGCAATTGATATTATGAATGAAACTTACCAGCTCAAGTTTGAGCGTCTCAAAATTAACGAACCTATCTCACAGGAAGAGATTAATGAAATCTTTTCGGAACAAGAGAAAGAGAGGATGATCAGGATTTATAACGACTACATTCTTGGTGGCCAGAACCGTAAGAAATACCAAGAAAGGATTGAAATTGAGTTTCCCAATTATCCCAGAGAGAAACTTGAGATGTTAGATGCCTACATTGAACATAAGCGGTGGCTCAAGGTACAGAACAAAGCACTTTATAGAGACTGGGAAAGGGAGAAAATGGAGCTCAAACAGAGAACTATCAAATCTATTGAAGAAGAAATTGCTGAAACAGAAGAGAAAATTGCTAGAGAACTTCAACGTATGAAGCAGGAATCAAAAGTAGCTAAACTCCATAAGAACAGGGATGATATGCGATTAGAATTCGAGGCAAAATTAGCTTTCATCAAAGAAATTGAAGAAGAAAAGAAAATTGAAGAGCAACTGGCACTTGAAAAGCAAGAGAAGGAGTATCAAGAGCATTGAAAAGAGATCAAAGAAGTTGCTGTCAACTATAAGCAAGAGAAGAAAGAAATGGCAGAAATTGAAATAGAAAAATATCGAAAAGAAGCTAAAGAGCAGGAAGAACTCCTCAAAGCCCAGCTAGCTGAGAACAAACCCAAAGTTGAAGATATCAGAAAGAGAGAAGAGCAAAAGGTTATTGATAAATATGCTATTCTTGAAGAGAAGAGGAATTATCTTCAGAATAGAGAGGAAAGAATCAATAGAGCTGTTGAAGATTATAGTTTCAGACCCCAAGTCAGGATGGATAGGTAAATTATAAATTATACTGATTCTTTAGAGACCGTGTACAACAAGACACTGAGAAGAACCTAATTTCAAAGGGAGTTATCATGGATAAGGCAGATAAAGTTGAATTATTCAAAAATCCAGGCTTCACAGTTGAGAATTTGATGAAAGATATACGCTATAAGGTAGGAGCTGCCCTTTCCAATGCAGGTCTTTCCACTACTGGATATGCAAAGCAACTTATGTCTGGTCTCCAAGGAAATCTTGCTCAGAGGAAAGATATGAATGGAAATAATTTCTAAGTTTCAATTAAGGTATTAGTAAATGGGGTTTTGGGGTTTTGGGGTTTTGGGGTTTTGGGG